TCAATATCTGAGAACACTATAAATAAAACAGCCACTTTCTGGAGCTGTGTAAGCTTCAGACTGTTCTGTAGATTTTAAGGGCAGGAGAGATTAGCAGGATATCTAGCCTGGGCTACCATTAATGCACTAGCACCCCTGCTCTTTTTGCTGGTTTACATTCTTCTTAGGCTCAGAGCAATATCAACATTCTGCATACTTTATACTGTTTTTGAAATAAAGGAAGAAGTGAATGCAGATTCTGAGAGGAAAAAAAACAACTCACACCTTCATATTCATCTCTCCTGTGTTCTTGACACTCTCAGATTTCCACCTCTCCAAATAAAAACAAAAACCTTACTTCCTTCTCGAGTAAGATTCCACCTGAATTTATGCAATGGTCCATTTTTGTCACAGTGCATTTTTTTGGAAAAGAATGGGAAGTTTCTCACTAACACTACTGGAACTAGATTGTATTTGGGGGAACATTTTGTGAATAGCAGCCCTTAAAAAATTCTAAAGTCAGTACTGGGAAATGAACAGCAGATTTCTAAAGCTGAATACATGTCAAGAAACCTCTAAACTAAGGCTGTAACAATTTTTTTCAGTCAAGGTATACCTACAAATCACACTGGACCAGAGGGTTACAGGAGCACCTACAGGTGTGAGTAACAGCAACAGTCCAGCCTGCATATTGCTGATGGAGTAGATGGAACACTTCATATTTCAAAGATTTTCCAGGTGTTGTCTGTTTCTGCTGGCAAAAAAACTCAAACCAAAACAAAATCCTCTTCATTAGCAGCCAATAATCTCCACAATAACTTGAAGAAGGATGAAATTCCAGTCTGTTTCATATGTTAGTACAGCTTTGCTCCTTCACCTTGCAAAGCGCACCCTAGATTGGAAAAAGAAAACAGCCAGCCACTAGGTGGATTTTACTGACAAGACATGCTCAGAAAACTTGTGGATAGTCTGAGAGGACAGAGATGTGCAGGCTCGTGCAGACCCCTTGGAGAAGAGGGAAAAATGTCAAAATGTCCCACTATTACTAGGTATTAACTAACAGCTAATTAATTCCCATTATCAACCTCAGTGAGTATTCTCCAGGTACGCAGTGTAATGAATAAAAATGTTCACTGAGTTTGTGTGTTATGACCCCCCTTCATATTACACATGCAGCTGCCTTGCTACTCTCACTTCTCCTTTTGAGTGTCCCATTATAAAGTCTATTGTGTGGAGATCACATTGTTGTTATCTCTGTTCACTGACTAGAATAGAGTCTGTTCTAATCCTCTAGTAGGCTCTCCAGGTAGTGCCACAGAACAGAGTGTCAGGGCTCAGTTCCTGTCCCCTACCTACTGAAAAGGTAAAACTGTGGAAGGACACAATGTAGGAGGGTACTTGCAAAGTCCATACTGAGTGGTTTATCTAGAATGGTTGTGAGTTTTAAAATGGAGGAAAAACAAGTCAACAGAACAGTATAAACTTTCAGTATTCTTCCCTCCCAATCCTATTGTCCTACATTTTGACTTTGAAGTTCACTGAAATTAGAAGACTTGCTGAAGGCATTCCGAAGATAACAGGAAAACACTGGAAAGGGAATACGACAAAGTTGCAGATGCATCACAAATTATTCCAAAATGGAACAGAAAACTATCACCTACAACATCATCTTTAAAGTCCAGTGGCTAGAACACATTCTAGAAAATTCTGCTGTTTTCTAGAGTGCAAAATTCAAGCCCACTGCAGATGCACTAAAGCCTTTTATCATACCAAGTCAATACTGAAAGAAAAGTTAATGAATTAGCTGCAGAGTAACTTCTGTTCCCCTGGAAACTGGGGAGAAGCGCATGCTACCTCCTATTCTGGGAATAGGAACAAACCCAAAGCTACTTTAAAAACCCACAAATATATTGACAGACTTAGTAGAAGCATCAAAAGCTCTTTGCAGGTCAGTCCTCCCTTCCCCCTTTCCTCATGGGGGCACCTGAGAAGATACTCAGGAAAAGCAATGGCTGCAAGTTCACCCTCTAACCTTTGGCACAGAACTCAGTCTGATAAAGTGGACTGTGCAACTGCAACTATGTCATATGGCACACAAACACACACACACCTTCAACAGTACTCGACCCATTAAGACCGCAGAATAACTCCTTTTCACTCCAGTAAATCTATGCCATTCTCCTGTCATTAGATTACAGCTCCATCTTTTCAGCATTATTTTCAAGGAAGGAATATCTACAATTCCCTCTATGGACCTGGAAGCACAGCTTTTCATAAAAATGGGCAACACAACATCCATAAACAAAAAGACATTGTTTAGGGTTTCTCTTTTGAAACATTATGGCATAAATCTCACTCGACTCTGTCAGATAAACAATAAGAATATGACCCTCTTCCAGAATACACATAAATAATCAAGTAGACAGAAGATCAATGGGAATTTTAGTGAAGCTATTGATTTAGTTTTTGCATACAAGCTTTCAGGCCATACTTAATATTTAAAACAAAGATTTAAAAGAAGCATGAGTATCTTTAGAGCTGAAGGAAGTTAGGGATTAATATCAACTGATGAAAATATCTACATGGCCTGTAACAAAGATCTCCCAGGGTCACAGCTGTCTTCCTAAGCCATGTGGGCATTCCTGTATCATTGTCCCTTCATTCCAGAGAATCCCAAGCAATAGCTATCTACAGGTTCCAAAAATACGTTTCACCCGTGGGATGCATACAGTCCTAGCTGAAGTCAGATGTGAATCCTAGTTTGCAACTGTTACAAGATTAGTCAGGACGTGGTCCTGTATCACCCTATACAAATTGGCTTCCCCAGTGATAAATGCACAGCAACCCTGTCCCCCAAAAGGGACAGGGTTAAAGAAACCCTTTCCAGCATGACTGAGGCAGCTCCTTCCTCATCTTGTTCACTGATACAGTTCAGAAGTGCCCAGCTCTCCCCATGCCCTGTATAGAAAGATAAGGTGCTTGTCTTAAAAGTGCAAAATCCAACTGTTGCTTGCAGAGTCCTGAGCAACAACAGGTTACACCATCGAGTTCAAGCCTCTTAGCCTTCACACAGCAGGCTATCCATAATGATGGATCAAATTCCTGATTAGGTAAGTGCAAGGCGTAAGATGCAGCCAACATCCTCATGCATCTACCATGCATGTGTCAGGCTCACAGGGGAAAATTCACTTCCACTCTCACTCTACAATGAAATTTATGTGTAAGAGTTAAGCATGCAGCTGTATCAAGCAGTTTAATAGTAGGCTATAATGAGCGTGTGGATGGTAATGATATTACACAGGCTGTCTGTCACTCTGTAATGCTTGTACTGACTCATCAGGAGACAGCAGTACAGGGACACTGTCTGGCTTATTCAGTTATATTCCCTCTGTTCAATGACTCTGGTTAGAGGCCTGACAGTCAAAACAATGACCACTTGAAATATGCTGCATAATATACTACAGCAACTAGGAAAGCCCTTCGCTCAAACACTGCAAGAATATTTTACAGGCGTATTGAAGAACTTGAATAAGAAATTCTTCATCTTAGCTGTAAGCTTTGTCCCATCCTGTAGCACAGCACATACCTCCACTAAATGCTGTAGATATAGAATGGTCAGAAACAGAAAATCATCTTGAATTTAGTGCCGGGTCCAGACTGACAATTGCAAATGTCCTCCGCTCTGCATTCACCCTAGGTGCAGGAACACTGTCCTCTGAGAGCTTCTTTTAGAGAACCATATTTAGTTGTAAGAAATTGGTGCTAGACCAGCAACACACTCACAAAAAGCAGGTGAAGCAGCAAGTAGTAAAAAATTCCATTAATTAATATTTGGCTTGAGAGACATACTTGTGCAATGTTCACTTTATTAAAAACTGTTTAAAATCTTCACTACCAAAAAGTTGCAAGTTAAAGACTTTGTGTGCCCATGGGAATGTTGCATGGTGACTGCCTATTATCCTTTATCACCAGCAAACTGCCCTACAGCTACTTGGCACATAGTTATTTACAATCTCCTAAGTCTTCTGCAAGAATAAACGTGCTTTGCAAAGCTTTCTTGCACACAATTCTCCCATGGACAAACTGATAACAGCTGATCTAAACTTACCATTTTAAGTAGCCCTACTCTGGTTCAATTTATTCAATTAACATTTAGTGGTTGGTATTAAATTATCTTCTCTGCTAGCTCCTAAACATTCAGATCCTCTCCCTTTACTCTGTCCGTTTTCTTTCCACAGTCTACTTCAGGATGGATCTATGACACTGTCCAATACCTATTGCACAGCAGGACTTAACCAGTGGTTTCCACCAGGAAAAGTGTTCTTCTCTTTCATTCATGCTCCATAAAGTCTAAAAGTTTTGATAAAGGCAAACTTCAGACCGTTTAATTTTGTAGAAGGTCACATTGTGCCCCAGTCTGTTAAATTAGTTTTTGCTATCAGACACGTACTCCTTCTTCCAGACATAGACAGCACATGGCCTTGCATAAATTCTTTCTCCTCAAAATTTACATAGAAAAGCAGTAACTCCCAGGTGTATATAAAACACACTAAACCACATATTGCAGCCCATTCAAGTCCTGCATGCTCACATGTAACAAAACCTACATACTCTACCCACACAAGCTAGCCCTAAGCAGCTGGCTCACCTCCGCTTAACAATGGATTATTTGGGAGATAATGAGTCCCAGCTGACTAAGCAAGGTTTTTCACTCCTGCCTCAGCAATCTGGAACTCCATAGTTCTTCCTGTCAAACTCCAGTCTCATAGATGACCATACTAAGATTTGGAGGTCAGCATGCCCTAGTGGGTAAATAAACACCTTCTAAACTTCTCCCAAGCTCTACTACTTGTCTGGGTAGTAGCTAAGTCTCCCTGCAATGTCTCTTGCCTTTGAGCCTCCTTAAGTGTGTATGGTTTTGGCTAGGACAGAGAGCAACTGAAATGAGCTGTCAATCAAAGCAGTGACTGTGACCCACACAGAAGTCGCAACCAATATGCCCTACAGTTCTCTAGTCATACCTGAGGTCTAGTTTCCTCTTCATCCTTATAATAGAAGAGCTGGTCCCCACGCAGCACAAACCACCGCTGCTGCCAGTTCTTCATAATGCTCCTTTGTTTCTTCAGCCAGCCACACTTGAGCACACGCTCTTGAGGGTTTGGAGAAGAAGGTCTGGAGGGAGGTCCAATCTGTTCACCCATCACCAAACTCTTTGACCGGGCTGAAAAAGCAATTACAGAGTAAATGAAACAAAGAAATAAGGATAAGAACACAGAGAGAGGCTAAATAACTGTTACATACTTTCTTCTCAGACATGGACAGACCATTACATGCATGCTCCCTCTTCGAGTACATACATGTTTTTCAGGGTGTACATTCAAGTTCATGGCAGTCAAACACAAGACAAACATCAACTTTTTGGTACTGCTCCCTCCAGCAACCTTCTAAGCGACACGATACCTCCACTAAGGCTCCACTGCTCATACTGCCTTTCTTTGTGGCAAGTCATTACTGCCTTCCAGCTCTACAAGGAAATAATGATATTGCTCTCCCCTAAAGGGATATTTACCCAATGAGGATGTGTAAGTGTGGTGAGGGGGGACAGAAAAGAAGGAAGGAAAGAGTATAAGAAAATATTTTCACTCCACACACTACCACTACTGGGGTGATTAGCCAGTGAAACCAGCTGCCGCAGGGAAAAAAAAATTCAAAGAAAAATTCAAAAAGGGATGTGTCACATATAGATAACATAGCTATCCAGAATGATTAAAGTCACCTTATTCTTCAGGGCTTTCTGACATTGAAGCAGAAAAACACAACAGAAATAAAAGATAAAATAGAGAGAAAAAAACCCATGTAAATCTCAGGAAAGGCTTCAGAATAAATTTATCGCCCTTTCCTTCCTCTTCTTCTCCCACATGCCTGCAGTAAGAGTACTGAAGCTTGGGGCATTTAAAGCTAGTCTGGAGTAGCAGATAATGATTATATATTGCAGGCAGCAAGCCAGTCCTCCAGAATGGATAGGTTAGATGACCTCACAGGTCTTTTCCACCTCTACTTCCTTTGGATTTATGAAGTATCTTGTAATAATAGTTGTTTAGTATCTCATGCCATTTTCCTTCGTTAGTGCTAACATGATCCCGTTCTTTCCCATTTTCTACATTCAGCTAACTTAAAGCACAATTTATAATTGCCCACTTGAAACAGGGCTACAGATTACAGGCTAGTACCAGTAAATCTACATCACTGATGTCTTACATTAACACTGTAAACTGCTGCAGCTAAAAAACAGGCAAGCTTCTTATTCAGGGATCCCTGATACGCTACAGCTAATTCAGCCTGTCACAACAAAGGGCAACCCTCTGCCTCTCAAAGTACTGTCTAGTTTTGCCTCTTTTGGGTTCAGACAATTAAAACATATGGCCTTGATGTTACCACCTGACTCTGGTGCCTCACCACACAGTGATGGAACTGACAACATATGCCAAAGAAAGAAAAATAAAGTGCAGGTGGTGGTTTGGGAATGAAAAAAAAAAAATTAAAAAACAATCACAATAGCAAAATTAAACTTGATCCTATTTCTTCTCTTTCATGAAGCAAACTGCAATAGAAGGATAGGCAGGTAACAGACTGAGGTCAGATCTTTGGAGAGCCTCCTCAGTGTAATCCAGTGAGGGAAATCACATTCATGTCTGTGATAAAATCTACTTTGACCTTCCCCACAACCTAGCAGTCAGGCCATCATGTTCTGCTTCATAAAGAAATATAAAACCAGCACTTTTACATACTAAACACTTCTGTCAGTGGAGGGCAGATCTGAATGGTACCACATCATCCATTACCAAAAAGTCTCAGTGACAGCAACCTCCACTTCTATGGTATCATATACTTCCCCCTCACCCAGGCTTAAAAATCTGCTCACCTTTCCTGTAACCATCCAGTAGGCACTCAGACTGGCCTCTGACTTCCCAGTTTTATAGGCAGAAGGTAGCATCACTTTGTTAGTCTTAAATTTCAGACTCAGTGAAAGCCCTGTCTGATAGGCAGAAGGGTTTTTTTTTTTTTTTCCATTTCTCTGAACTGCTAAGGTAATTTCTGCTACTCTCAACAGAACTGTGAATAACAGGTTTTGCCTTGTGCCTCAGTGAAGAGAAATCAGGTTTCAACCTATAACTATTTCCTGCTGCAAGAAATTAAGGTTTTATTTTGGTTTTAGTTTCACTTTAAAATTTAATTTAAAAGTTTAAATGTTATAAGAAGTCCTGATGCAGTATCATAGCTTTTTCAGAATAACACTTCCCTTATTTTTAGCTGAAATACCTTGCTGAATTTAACCTGAGCATATATACAGCATTAGTCCTACATTAGTGAAGTTTACCAGCAAACTTTGGATTCACTTAAGCAATCCAGCAGTCTCCAATTCTGCTTTTTATATAGCCAAAACAAAACAACACAACACCAAAAATCTTAATACAGAATTCACTTAAAATCAGGCTTTGATGCATCCAGGCTTATTCTCTAAGTTTACCCACTCTAGTCTGAGCTCTCACAGACAGGCATTTTCATTCCAACAAAATATATAAAGAACAGCTTTTCACCATGAAGCCAAGAACCTTATGCCTTAATATATCCCTTTCTGGCAACACAGTGCCCTCTAGCAGATGATTTTACAAAACATACCCGAACAACTTCATCTCCTCCCCCCGCCCCTCACCACTGCCAAGAAATGGTGGATCCCATTTCATATGCGTGTAGTAAGAAAACAGTCTTTTCACATTGAAATCTCTACTGCAGACGCCCATAAGGATTTAGCTGAAGGAACTGCCTCTGCCCCGTCCCAGGCCACATTTTACAACAAGGACCAAGATCCTGTCCCAGATTCTTTTCCACATTCACGTTACAATGTATGTTATTACAAGAACAAGTATCCCAGGAATTTGCTTCTCCAAATGGAACTATAATGTTTCTTAGGCAACATCTTGGCTATTAACCTAACCAATTAATCTAATAATACCAAAATCCATACTTCAGTAAGCACCTCACTCCACAGTCAAGCACCTCAGCACTCTACAGATTAAACATGCAACTCCTAGCAGCTTCCAGTTTTCCTAACTTGCATATAGTTACATAAACCCTCTCCTACTTCACATCTCCTCCTAAAAAGAAATTAGATTTATTTAACTGGAAATCTGCTACCTTTATTTTAACATCTATATCAACACAGACCTCACAAAAAAAAGCCATCAAACATCTAGCTTTTGAATAACCCTAAGTATGTTATCTCTTACTTCTGCTCACACACCCTTTGGTGTTATCTGTACAGTTCTACCTAGTGATTATTTATTAGAGTGAAGAGTTAAGGCTTTCGTGATTGGCCACTGGAGAATGTATATCTTCATATTTTTATTTTAAGCAGCACCATGTCTTAGTTGCAATGGTTGTTAATTCTTCATGCTGTCTTAGATTTCTATTTCCTTAGAGTTTCTAGTCATGACTATAATAGTTAATTTCATTAGGAGATACTTAGCAACGTCATCTCTAAGTCAACAACATGGATCAGATAGAAATGTTTAGCTGGCTATTATGTTTATATTGCATACTCCACGGAATACAATAATTGCATAGAGGTCAGAAGGAAACTTTTCACAAATAAGCACAGCCTGCCTTTAAAGCAGCAGGTATCTCACACTACTTGGATCAAAATATCTGCTTTGATAATCTGACCCAGTACATCAAGCCCCTGATTCTTAATGGTAGATACATATTCTTAGTGCTCATCTATTTGACAGAATTATGGAATTGGCAGAGCATAAGGAAGAAAACAAATCAATAAATCACTCACAACAACTCAGCAAGTACTTTACACGCGCTAGAGTTCTGATCCAGTAATGCCTTTTCAATACCACTCAGTTTGGTTTTGCTTTTCACATTTTCATTAACTGATTATTGATTCAGCCATACACATAAGTTCTAAACAGAAATCAATGTAGAAAGGATTCATGCTCTCCTTGGAAAAAGGTTTAGGATTCATTTGCATAGCACAGCAGTACTGAAATGCCAACTACAGCACATACCCACTCAGAAGCAGGGAAACAAGGCAATTACAGCACAGTAAGATTACAACAGACCAGGCAGACCCATATCCTTGCTGGCCATGCAGGTAGCACTAACAACGAGGCAAGCCTGTTTTGGGGGATGGCAAATCATTAGAAGGCAAGAACCAGAATTGCAGACCTTGAAAATACTCTTGTGACCAGAAGCAACACCGGCATATGGAAGTTCTCATATCTAGATGAAGATAGGAGGAGGAATACGAAGTAAAGGCAGCAGGGTGACAATCAACACCCATTGTGCAAATGCCCGGGCTACACTAAATAAGCTCCCCATCCAAAAACCCACATTTGATTGCCATGTCTTTAATAGTAAACTCAAAGATTATCCTAAGGAGCAGATGGACCAAATCGGATGGGGCCATGCTGCCATTCCTTACAGAGATAGCAATCCCTATCCCCATCCCAACTCAGCCCTGTCTAAAGCTACTATTTCTCCATTTCTCTTCCTTGCCCCATTAACAGAGCACCATACACTTCTACAAGACTTCCCCTGCAACCCAAACCTGCCTCCAAGCAACATGCACATTCCTGTTCTCATCACATCTATTTTCTACCCTAAGCATGCACATAACAAGAGACAACTTCTTCTCTTCCCTATCCATACTATCCCCCTTTCCTGAACTCAATACTGCCTGGCAACATTATACAATCTCTCCTGCTCTCCTTCTGCCGCTCACAGCTCTGCATATCACTACAGGTCTGAGCAATCAACAAGTACCTACTTAAATCAGGGACATGGAAATCAATCAAGTCAATGCAACTCAATATCAATTAAAGTTGTACTCTTTTGAAGTTTCATAGGCAGTTAGCTTAAATCAATATAGCCATTATAACTTATTCTGGCTGACAAACTGTCCTACAGTGAAGGCACTTTGCTCTAGTGTTTCTTCAGTCTAATGACATAGTGACACTATGTATTATTTCTGATATGGTGTTTGTTTAATGTACCAGCCACAAAGGGAAGTGGCTTCACATACTATAAACAATATTCTCAGTTGTTTTAATTCAAACTTTGCCTCAAAAATGGATGCACTGAAAACACAAGAGTCACATGCCTTAGAAGAAGATACTGCATGTCCTTTCACCAG